GCGGCACCAAAGCAGCAGGAAGATCTCAGGTGTCTGAGAAGCCCCGAGTCGTAGCTCCACCGCAGAAACAGGTGCAGCCCCCTGGGGGGTCACTATACGAGTTCACAGGCTGCATTAAACACCCCCACACACCACTGTTCCCTCTAAGCTGAGTTAGTGTGAGCTAGCTCACAGTTTTTTAGCCTCCAGCTCACAGAGTTTTGCCTCGGCTCAGGAAGGAGGGCTCCAGAGCAAACGGATTCGTGCAGCGGCCAAATCGCTCGCTCACAACTTTAATGCCTGTAGCTCACAAAGTAGGATTTTTGCTCATAAGACTCCACAGCTTAGAGGGAACATTGCCACACACACACCCCGGTAACTGCGACTCGTCAGGCGTCCTGAACCCCCCCGCGCCTAAGGAGGCGGTGGGAGTGGAGGCGTCTCATTGCACCGACTGTGCCAGACAATCATCGTGCATGACTATGACAACATCACTCCCCCCCCGACCCGACAGAACCGGGAGAGGGCTGGGGGGGGGGGGGCGCTGCAACACCCCCCTGCCAAGCCCCGGACTATTTCCAAGGGGGGCCCCCCGCTGCATAGAAACCAGGAATCGAAACTCACCAGCCGCTGCCATGCCACTTTCCGCCCCTCTCCGCCGCCTCCGTCTTTTAACCAGCGCCGACCGACCGCACGGGCTGATGCAACCCACGGCGTGCCCGGAAGACCCGCCCCGCCTCAGCCACTTCCGTCAGGCGCGGGGTTGCTAGGCAACGAGAAGGCGACTCGGCACCAGCAAGCCAAGCGACTAGGCTAGTGCAGTGTTCCCTCTAAGCTGGGTTAGTGTGAGCTAGTTCACAGTGTCTTAGCTTACGGCTCACACCTTTTTGTCTTCGCTCAGAAAGGATGGCTCCAGAGCAAACTAACTGATGCAGCAGCCAAATGGCTCGCTCACAACTTTAATGCCAGTAGCTCACAAAGGAGAATTTTTGCTCACAAGACTCCGCAGCTTAGAGGGAACATTGGCTCTCGAGCCCCGTTGTCAGGGAGGGGCCTGTGCAGGGGCAGGTTAAGGCTCACTGGCGCCCTATAAGCAATGTTCCCTCTAAGCTGCGGAGTCTTGTGAGCAAAAATTCTACTTTGGGAGCTCCTGGCATTAAAACTGTGAGCAGGTGATCTGGCTGCGGCATAAATTAGTTTGCTCTGGAGCCATCCTTTCTGAGCGAAGACAAAAATCTGTGAGTCGGAGGCTAAAAATCTGTGAGCTGGCTCACACTAACTCAGCTTAGAGGGAACACTGCCTATAAGCACTGACCAGTCTTGGTGCCCCCCCCCGTTTAAATGGGGCTGGAATTAAAAAGGGGCAGAGAGGCTCATTGAAACGACTGCCAATGTTCCCTCTAAGCAGTGGAGTCTTGTGAGCAAAAATTCTACTTTGTGAGCTACTGGCATTAAAGTTGTGAGCAAGCGATTTGGCTGCTGCATAAATTACTTTGCTCCAGAGTCCTCCTTCCTGAGCTGAGACAGAAATGTGTGAGCTGGAGACTAAAAAACTGTGAGCTAGCTCAGACTAACTCAGCTTAGAGGGAACACTCGTGACAACTGAATTTGGCTCCAACATTTTACTTTTGAACACATGCATTTTACTTTTAAACATAGCCTATGACACTGTACATCGCCAACAAAAAATAGAAGATAACCCTAGGGTGCACCATGATCAATTTGCACTAGTTTTATCAAAAATTTTTTTTACAAATTTTCATATTTTTTTTCTTTTCACCCTTTTCCCAACTTTGTGGTTCCCCCCTTTGGCCCTGGTGCTCTAAGCATGTGCTTAGTCTGCTTAATGGTTAATCCTCCACTGGGCCTGTGGGTAAATCAGTGTCTGCATTGGCCGCATTGGGGGGGGGGATACAGTTCCAGACAGTACAACTATCCAGGGGTCCTTTCATCGAAAAAGAGGTGCAGGGGTTCAGTAGCATAACTTATTAGCATAACCGATTTGCATATGCCACATCCCCTGCCAACACTGGAAGTGTGTCAGAAGGCAACACCCACGGCTCAGGCTCCACTGGACTGTTTTGGATTGCTAGCTATTGGGGGGGGGGGGGCCGGTGGACTTTCACCCCGCTTGTACCTGAATAAAACTTGGTCTTAAAGGTGCCACTGGAGTGTTTTGGATTGCAAACTATGTGGCGGGGATGCGCAGATCTGCCCTCACTTAGGAGGGAGAGCTTGTACCTGAAGGGGGGGGGGGGCTCTGCAACTTATCTGGCTGCTTCTTGCTCATGGCCCAACTAAGTGCTTCTGGGAGCAGGGGGCGGGGCTTACTGGGCTCCTTACTGCCAGAGCTCTGCTCCAGTGCACTCCCGCAGGAAATGACCCCTGCAACTATCCATAAGTGTATAGTCGCTTTCCATTACAGCCTGTCCAAATAGTATATGTTGATGTGATGTATTTGACTTTCCACATTTGATGTGCAAAGGGATTAATTGTAAAATTAAGCGTTCCGTTTTTAAAAGGGATACATAAACGAAGCTGCCTTTTACTGAATCAGAACATTGGTCTAACAAGGTAAGTATTTTGTCTACTCTGACAAGCAGCAGCTCAGGTTCAAAGTCTTTCACACACTATTCCAGAAGCCAGTGCAGTTATTGCAGAATCTTTAGTTCATCTGGTATTTTTGTACTGTCGCTTGCGTGCAAAATAAGACAGTGTGAAATAGTGGGTGTTAAGTTGCTCGCTTAGCAAAGAAGTCAGAGAGTGGTTAGCAAGAACCCAACTTTATTCTTCAACTTGAACACAACTCCAACACGGATCAACATCTGATAGCCAGAACAGAACAGTTCAGCTTTTACATTGCAGTTGTCCTGCTTTTAAACTCTCCCGGCTAATGTAGCCACACCCACTGTACAAATACCAACCAATATGGTTGTTCATATAAGGACCAATCATGGACGTTCCCGCTCAGGGAGCTTGCTGTAAGGTGATTGGCTAGGTGCTTCCTGGGCTAGCAATGCGATTGGATTGATTTGGATCCTAGCCCAGGACGAAGCTCAACATGGCAAGTCAATTAGATGTTTCACATACATCATGCGTTCAATGGCAGCTGTTGAATACATTACAGTGGGTTCCATGGATGAACAGACCACAAGTCTAGTGATCAACTCTACTTTATTAGTGATTTCAGCAAGAACAAGACAAGACCTCAGAGCCTCAAGCGCTGTTAAATAGCATGCAGTTGCCACACCCAAACATACCCCACTACCAATGATTACTACTTGATTGGTTACTTCCAGAGTCCTGGTAGGCTATTGTTCTCATGCTCCAAGCTCAGCCATTCTCTGGTGTGTCATACCTGGTATGATTCAGTACCAATACATAACATACAGTTACTAAAAGAGCAGCCAGGCACCACTGCAGTGCATGAACATTGATAGCATGAGATTGTACTTCTGTAATGGGATGAGGTAGAATCTGGAATTCAACACTTTCTCAGTGGCTTTGTCCATTCTCCCACATATACCAGGAAATGCACCCAATCCTAAAACTGGCTTATATCTTACCAGATTGCAATATTTATTCATTGTATTAGTATTTTGTTTTTATGTCTGTGTTCAGGGACTCAAGGTAAAGGTAAAAGTTCCCTTGCTCGAAAGCCAGTCGAATCCGACTCTAGGGTTGCTGTACTCATCTCCATTTCAAAGCTGAAGAGCCAGCGCTGTCCGAAGACGTTTCCGTGGTTATGTGGCCGGCATGACTAAACACCAAGGTGCACGGAACACTGTTACCTTCCCACCGAAGTGGTACCTATTTATCTACTTGCAATTTCTTGCTTTCGAACTGCTAGGTTGGCAGGAGCTGGAACTAGAGACGGGAGCTCACTCCATCATGCGGCACCCGGGTCTCGAACTGCTGAACTACTGACCTTCCATAGCCTGCAGTTCAGCGTCTTAACCACTTGAGGGACTCAGGACAGGTCACTAAAACTGCATAATTACAAGCTATCCACAATAATAAAGGTCACAAGACAGGTCACTAAAACTGTAGAATTACAAGCTATCCACAAAAATTAAAAAAGACGGAGTGAGCTCCCATCTCTAGTTCCAGCTCCTGCCAACCTGAGAGAACTCTGACACAAACTGCTCTTTCAGGAACAGCTGTGCCAGAGCTTGTGACTGACCCAAATTCAGATACATAAAGATAGAAGATGACAATGACGGGAAGGTGGTCTCCAGAATGCGATGCCGTTTCGACAAACATCTTCTTATAACCAAGAATCTATAAGTTGATGATGTGTCAAAAATTGCACTTCAATGGAAAAGCTGCCCAATTCACATGGAGTTCTATACCTATTTCACCTATTTCATTGCACAAGTAATGGAGAAGAACATCTCTCAGACAGTAAATATGCTGCAGACCAAGGAGAAAGATCTGCAAACAGTATTGCAAAATTTTCTCATTCTCAAGGGGGTTCATATGTTCCCGCAGCCCTTATAAACTATATAAAGCCAAGACGCTAACCCAATTGTTATATGGCTCATTCATGGGGCCATCCAGCTCCTATTTTGCACCTTTATAAAGAGTTCAGTCTTTTTACAGGTCCCTAGATGTGTGACAAATGCCAGGGTAAGATGGTAAGACTGTATGACTGGTCTAAGGACCGTAACAATAACCGAACTGAACCTATCTAGGGTTGAATGTAGCTAATTTTAGTCAATTTGTTTGCAGTATGATTTAAATCATTTTGTTACAAAGTTGCAGTGCAAGAGTAGCTTTGCAGTATCAGCAGTTGTCACCTTGTTGACCCCGTAGAATAAAGCCACAGTGTAAACAGGTTTTAGGCATGACAACCCACTTATTTTTAAACCCTTGGTAACATTGTAGGCTGATCCTCACTCTGCAAAGGATCACCTTGCATGACATAGTGATTATTTAAAAACTGAACCAGCCAATAGGAACATTTATTTATGTTGTTTATAGTCCGTTTTCTTACTGAGAAGCAAGGTGAATTGCATAACGTGAGTCAGCATGACAGGATGAGGTGACATCCGTCAGTAGTAATAGGACTGGGGTAGCCAAAATCTGAAATAAGTCGTAAGTATTAAACATGACATGTTAACCATGCAAGAAATAGTAATATAGAAATAGAAATAAAATGAAGTGAGACCAGGATAAAAACATACAACAACAGAATACATATTAGTAATGTAGTCTACAGTCCTGTTCTGTCCGTTGAAATGCAGCTGTTATAATGCAGCCTGTAATGATTCCATTTTTGATGTTTGTGTTTCTTTAAATGTTTAGCTTGACTGATATAAGGTGGCACATAATAAGATCATCACCCCGTTGATTGAAGAAATTTTGGGCCTTTCTGAAAAAGCTAGACTCTTCTATCTGAAAGAAATTCCAACATCACCTTCCAAGTAGCCAATTTCTGTATGACGATACTCATTATGGAAATTCTATGGTAGTTAGGTAGTTATGGCAGTTAGACATTAGATTAAATTTTAATTTCCTCTTAATGTTTTATTGATGTATTTTAAAATTTTGGAATACTGTAAAGGTGTACCTCTTTTTTTGTATAACTGGTCTAAGGACTGTAACAATAACTGAACCTATCTAGAGTTGAATGTAGCTAATTTTAGTCAATTTGTTTTACACAAGAAAATGCAGTATGATTAAATCATTTTGTTACAAAGTTGCAGTGCAGGAGTAGC